AACCTTAATGGTTTGTTTGATGAGAAAAAAAAAAAAAAAAAAAAAAAAAAAATTAAAAAATAGATAGAAAGTATTACTACTCTATTTCAAAAAAAAAAATCAAACTTTTATTAGTACCCTTAATTTTTTTAGAACAAGAACAAACAACAAAAAAATACATTTAAGGCAACGGAGCAATTGCTTACACTTAACAATGTCAGCAGCAAATGATAATAAAGAGAACAAAACCAAGCAGATTTCCCATCCAAATCCATCACTCAGCTCCAAGTGAATGATCTCGAGCACCGATACCGATACCGACCTGCATTTGCAAAAATATCAAGCGTACACAATCATATAAGATCAATGATAAATGGTAGATATCAAAAGAATCACTTGATACAGTATTCTGTGTGAGGATGCTAATGGTTTTACAACAGGAATGCAGGAATGTTGCCTGCTAGAAAAGTTCATTCCAAGAATTATATAAATGGAAGATTTGGTCAATATGTAAGAACAGATCATCCTACAGCGATCGATCAATCGATCGAATCGAACGCTAGAGAAGCCTGAGGTGTGCGGTATCATTCATCGTTTTTATCTGCCAGCCCGACTTTAGTGAATGTTGTAAAACAGTCACAGATGAATCATCTATGCAAAACTTGTGCAGCATTGCCAAGCTGCATTCTAGGAGGCCTGTGAGGAGACATTTAATTGGAATTGAATGAGTGAAGATGCCGATACATGTCGTACATGATGACGAGTTTCTGATATTTAGAGGGGCATCCCGAGGGGAGATCTCGTCTTCAGCTTCGTGTTCTTCGGTGGTAGTCACGGTTTGTAGCCTGCTCTTGCCCGACTTCTTCCTCACGATCCCATGTCGCTGCCTGTGAGGCAAGTCCCAATGTGGGGATGATTGGAGAGAATGTGCATCTCGATCGAGAATTGAATTGGTTAGTTCGTGTGACATTTGAAGCGTCTCATTGGGACGGATTGCAATGTCTGATCTCAGCTTTTCAGGAAGCTCCAAGATGGTTGCGTTCAGAAAATGAACCATACGAAACTCGACCTGCCTTAACGATTCTCCAGCTGGTGCAGCGAAGTCGGGTTGAATTCTATCAATGAAGCTCAACGTTTCAGGCGTATATATATCAGACCGGAGGCAATGTTCCCAGTGTCCATGACTCATCTCTGTAAGGGCATCTGCTTTTTGTATTTGTTCTTCTGAAAAATTCATTTCCTGCAAGTTCATTTCATAGATGGTTTACAAAATTGAAGAACAATGCAGAAAAAAGGATCAAACGCCGGCATTCAACAGAACAAATCATCCATACCCCTCAAGAATTCAACAAAGAACATCATCTGATTATCATCATAGTTGAAATAATACGGCTAAGATCAGTAGCATTCAATACTTGTTTGTTCTATAAACTTCATGGATTCCAAATTGGCTTCAAAGTTATCCATCAAATTCAAAGATGAACAAGAGATGAACAAACGAAGTTGCATAGATTCAATCACAAGTTAAAACAGAATAGGATGTCTCAGAGGACTTTTAACAAACAGTTTGTTAGCATAACGCGATGGAATCATTACCTGACAGACTGAAGCGGCCATCGATCGGGCCCGATCCAAGGGAGACGAAAACACGGCATTGAAACGAACCCCCTGAGATTTCAAGAACACAGCCAACGCTCTTGCCTGCCGCTTACCTTTCGGCGTCAAAGCCGCCTCAGGGCACCGTCCGCCGACCAAGTCCGATCTCAAATTCAACTCGTACTCCCCGTGGCTGATCAGAAAAACCTCCATGACCACTCGATCGTCGTCAATCGAACTCGACGAGAAGCTCCGTGTGAATACCGGGGGCGGAGGAAGCTGTGGCGGCGGCGCTAGAACATTATACGGATCCCAAACCTTGATCACCGGCCCCAATCGAGGCGTACCAAGGGACGACAGCTGAGGAGACAAGGGCGATGCCAATGCGTGACATGGTAGCATCTCTGGCTCCTGCTCCAGAACCTTCTTCACCAAATAGTTCTCCAACTCGCCGCTAGCCGGCTCGACATTATCATCACCATCATCGTCCTCCTCCTCCTCCTCCCGTTCCTCCGCTACTTGCCCGGACTGAGCCGATCCCATTGCAGAAAAATCAACCGCAAAACCCTATCTATGTCACCGATTTCCTCACTGAAAATGCTCATGATAGAACATAGGGGAGCAAGAATTCCGCATAATGCAACGTAAATTTGGATAAAAACGAATCAAGGGCTCCTGTGTCGCTGTTCCGGTGGGGCGTTGGTGGGAAGATCTAGAGAATAAGGGAACAGATCTGATCGGAGATGGGCCGCTGGGGGAGTGGGCAAAGCGCTATTACAGGATTAGATATTTTTTTTCTTTTCACATGATCCGTTTCGTACAAAACAATTGAAAACTTCACGTTTCTCTGTTGTAAACAAAAGAGACAAACATTTTTAAGCTTACGCTTCTGCCCAAACCAACAGTCAACACAGTAAAAATAAAACTAACGGTCAAATTTGCTGTGGTAAAAGTAACCTTTTCGGCCTCCTCTCACCATTATATCAATAACTTTGAAAATTTTACCATAATTGAGTCAAAACTCTATATTCTACTTTATCCTAATAATGTCTCGTTGAAAGCTTTATAAAATTTACCCTGATAGGTAAATATTACTAATAGATAAATCCAAAGTATATATATACTTAATTTGTTAGGAATATTTAAAAATAAATTATAATTTATCCAATATATCATATTTGATATTTTATTATAAACCAAACCTCTAAATATTTGTTTTGTTACCAGAGATATCTTTCCATTATTGTTATTTTCATATTATAAAGGTGTGGTGGATTATGAAACACTCTCGTAGTTATTGAAAAAAGCTATATTCTTTTACGAATTGTAACGTTACATTATATAAATGTTTGAAAATGGTTGTTGATGTAGAAATTTAACTAATACGACACATTGAATGCTATGATTATGCATTGAATTTCTTGTAGTAGATCCATAATCAAAAAAGTGTTTGTGATTGTTCCAGAAAAAATGAAACAGAAGATACGGTAGAGCTATGATAGTTATTGTATGAGGTCTACTCAATGCTAGATGCAGAAGCGCATAATAGATTGATATGAACATCATGAGCTGTCCTGTAATAAAACTTGTTATTGCTGATACTTTCTTCTCGGTTCCTTCTTCCATAACCCGAGCTCGGAGAAGGAAGAGATAAGAGGCCCATATGGAGAATGTGGTCAGAAATCCATAATAAAGTCCGACCACAACAACAACATTATAACCGTGAATAAATGTATTTATTAAAATAAATTGTAATGTTTATTTTTGAAAAATAAATAAATAAATGTGTGTTAATGAAAATTTGAATTTAAGCAATATTTTATATAAACTACCCAATGATTTAAAACCTTTAGGAACTAAATACTCAAATCTTTTTTATTGTTTTTTTTAATTAGCCAAAACTATTTTTAACTCATGATATTTTTTTCTTAATATTTATATTTTTAAAAATTAAATTCATAAATACTATCAAATTTCTCAAAACTATGAAGTTTATTGTATCAATAAAGACGAGCATAATTTTTAAAAATAAAAAATCAAATAAATTCTTTCATTTTTTATTTTAAAAAATTATATTATTTTATATCTCTAATAACATGTATTGGCATGTATCATGAGGATTTTGAAATGATTACCATTATTTTTATTTTATTAAAAATAACTATGAAACTCTTCAAAATCAATTTTCTTTTGTATAAGTTTATTTTTTAAAATTTAAAATCTAAAGACCAAATAATAAAAAAAAAATGAAAATAGTTTACTTCAAAACAAGATAATTAAAATTAAATTCGTTGAATTGAAATGTGTATTATAGTTGAAAATAATGGCATATAAAAATGTTTGCTTAATCCACTACTATGGCCGGTGAAAGTTGTATATTTATAATAAAATAAATTATAAAAATATGAAAATAGTAATAAATGAAAAGAATTGGAAGATAAAAACATAAGTATCTATAATAAAATATATACTATAATTTAGTATTAAATATTAAAAATAAGTTTTATTTAATTATAGTTAAATTAATTATCCATTATTATAATACATATGTTTTTTATTTAAATTATTATATGTATATATATACCGATTAAATATTTAAAGAGAAAAAAACTAAAAGCAATTGATTTGACGTGGATTGGATTTTGTGAGAATTGGGCTGGGCTGGGCCGGCCCAAAAGGGAGAAGGTAGGGTAGGGATGGTCGTGTAGGAATGGGGCAAACGCAGTCGTTTTGCAGCACATGGAGAGGATTATACAGCCAGCGTTACACAGCTTGTAACTGACAGGCTTTGGGTTTCACTGATTGAATGCATGTCTAGTGTTTGCCACGTGGCTGCATTATATATATTATCCACTCTCCCTCTTAACATGTGATGGAGAATCATTTATTTATTTATTTATTAATATTTTACTTAAATATCAATTATTGTTTTCTTGTTATAAAATTTTCATAAATAGGTAAAATAAAAGTATTATTTTTTCCGTGTTTCTATTTATAAAATGTATATTAATATTTTAATTAAATATAGCCTAAATAATATTTTTATTCTATTTTCTTTTTAAAACTTTAAAATTTAATAAATTAATAAATCTCTTTTATAATTATTTTTTAAAAAATTATATTTATTCATGATCTGCCAATCATTTATATCTCACAACACATCACTAGGTAGTAACAAATATTATTAATTTTTATAATAATTTTAGAAGTATAATAGGATTTGGTTATATTATAACTCTTATTTTTTAGTTGGTTGGGTTGACCTAATAAAAAAATTTCAACCCGAGAATTTGAACCGAACCAAATCTTTGTGGGTTGGGTTAGGTAGTATGGACTGGATATCGAGCCATATGAACACTTATAAAGTATATATATATTTTATAACAATGACTCTAAAAGCGTTTTACAGACTAGTTTTATGTCATCTTCTATATGATAGCTTTGAGCAAATCCTATTTCGAAATAATGCTTCGAGCACTTTTAGACCCAGTCTAAATTGACCGCTATGGTATACTAAACGTGTAGTCAAGCTAAGAGGTTCTCGAAGATGATTCTAGAAGTTTATATAGTATTATTGTAATACGTGGTAATCGAGTTGAGGAAGAAAAAGGGAAATGAATAGTGAAAATAAAAAAGAAAGGTTTGAGAGTTCAAATTTGGTAGAAGGTGGCGGTGAATTTGGGAGAAGGAAAGGGAATCACGAGAAACTTGGGATTTCTTTTACAAAATTTATTCCAAACTTTGCCTCTCATCTCCTCCATTATTTATTTACTTTCCCAATTTGCAATTAATGTGGCGTGGTTCCAATGGCATTGCAAAATAATAATTAAATAAATAATAATAACAATAATAATATTAGATGGATGTATGTATAATTCGGAATCCGAGCCAAATCTCTATTTAAATGGAGAGGAAGCTGGTAGATATTTTTAGTTGTTAGCTAAACAGAGTCGAAATAAAAATGTGAGGTTGCATGTGCAGAGAGTATGACGAAGGATGATTTGGAGGTCAAAAGGGTGGAGCTGAAGAATAATCAATCAGCTCTACATGTGGTAACCATGACGACTGCCCCTGCGTCAAAGCCAATCGTGATGGTGGAGAAGAACAATAAAGAATTTCAAAAGCCCTAAACGCTCTGATATCATGAGAATGTTTGCATAATCCACTACATGTAAATGATGTGAAAGTTATGTATTTATAATCAAATAAATTGTAAGGATATGGAAAAATACATAAGAAGCAAATATCTAGATATTTGTCTTATAATAAAATATTAAATATAATATATATGGTAAACTATAATTTAATACTAAATTTTTTAACAAAAAAAAAAAATATATATATATATATATATATAATTTGTGGAGATGAAAGTTGAAATAGTTATATAAATTAAATTACAAAAATAATACATCAAAAAATTAAAAATAATTAAATAATTATCGAATGAGGTTTAAACTTTCACGTTTATATACAATTGATCTTTGAACTTTAAATGTATTCTATCTCGTCTTTTATGTTTTCTTGATATATATATCTATATATATATATATTTTAATGGGTTTCTATCCTATATTAAATTAATTTTTTTTATGTATAATTTAATTCTAAATTTTCAATTATTACCTTAATTATTAATTATATGTTAAATTATAAATTAGAATCCTATAAATTAATTCACACGTAATTAAAGTTTTTTTACAGAAAAATTAATATTAACTTCATAGTTTCATTTTTATTTTTTTATGTAATGCTATAAATTAAAAATGTTTTTGAGTCTTATTATTTATTTATTTATTTAATAATTATTTGAAGAAAAAGAAAGCGCGTAGGACGGTGACCGTTAAGTACATGTATATTTAAAAAGGGTATAAAGTAAATAAATATCACAATAAAAAATATTATTAATTTAATTCCATTTTCTCCATTTTCTATTTATTCATAGGACGACAATTTAATTGACAAAAATTTAAAATTCTAAGAGAGTTGGTACGAGGTAGTGTTTTTAATTTTAGTGAATTTGGCATTTTTTTTTGTTCGATAAACCCCACCAACACGGAAATTGAGTTACAATCCAACAACCCAACCCTATTATAACCTACTTTTAAGATTAATATATTTGACGTTTGTAACTGATGTTTTTGATGCATTATGACTCAGTATATGAAATTTTAATTATTACTATTATTTTTTATATAATTAAAAAAATAACGTGATAATCCAACTCCGAGAAGGTTGGGTTGTGTTGTGAGCTGACCCAATCAACTTGAAATTTCAAGTTGATCTAAAATATTTTACCAACCCAACTAAAAAATAATGGGTTGAGTTGGGTTGTGAACTCTATTCGAATTGTTCCCGTCACTAACCCAATCAACTTTTTAATTTATAGCATTAAGTATAGTACATTTTTAGGTATAGTATATTAGAAAGAATTGAAGACAAGTCACATCTTCATAGAGTACATTTTGAGGCATTTTAGTCTTAATGGGTGTAGACATGATTTTGGTGAATTATCGTACACTCCCATATTGAGATGACGAGAATAGTAAAAACGTGACTACAAATGAAAGCAAGTAAAAGAAGTTTAGAATGAGCATACGATTATGGATAACACGCTTTGGACAAGTATTGTAATAACCTAAGCCCATCGCTAGCAGATATTGTTCACTTTGGCTCGTTACGTATCATCGTCGAGTCTCACGATTTTAAAACGTGTCTACTCCAACTAGTGTCTCGCACCATTCGATGACTGGTTTTGATACTATTTGTAACAACCCAAACCCAACGCTAGTAGATATTGTCCAATTTAGCTCGTCAGTCTCACGATTTTAAAACGTGTCTACTAGGAAGAGATTTCCACACCCATATAAGGAATGCTTTGTTTCTCTCTTCAACCAATGTTGGATCTCACAAGTATGACTGTTGTATCTCACAAGTATGACTGTGACATCCGACGCACAGCCACATGCAATAGATTTTGGACAAGCATGACCGTGACATTGGGTGCATGCCCCATGCCAACCGGGGAACTTAGACACTTCTTTCTTTTGTTAGGTGACTCGTTCCTTCCATGCTTCCCACGGTGTTTATCTTTTCTTGTTCTTATAGTCCAATTATATCCATAACATTAGCTGTGGCCGTGTTCCTCAAATTCTTCTCTAAAATAATTTTTTTCCTTTTATAATTTGTCTGAAAAGTGGGAGAATATTCTTAAACCTTCAAACAAGTTTTTAAAAAAATACAATTAAGTTAAAAAAAAAAAAAGACTCGGGTTAGTTTTGGATAAAAACATTAATATTTTGTTTCAAATATATTATTAAATTTTAAAAATGGTTAAAAAAAAAGAATAGAAATTCGTAAAACTTTTTTTACACCACTTCAAAAATACCTTTTATATTAAAAAAAAAAAAAAAAAAAAGTAAAAAACACTTTTTAACTTTTTAAAAAAAAATTAAAAAAATAATTTGCGGTTGATACATGTTTAAAAAATATCTATAAACTTTCTAAATTAATATTAAAATATTTATAGATAATCTTTGAAGCATAAATAGATTAATTTTTATCCATATAATAATTGTAAATACTTTTCAAAACTTTTTTCAATGGTTATATTTAAATTTTGTAAGTTTAAAAAATATCCTTAATTCATTTTTAATTGAAGTTTTAATAATAAGAAGAAAATAATAATTTATAAAACAATAAAAAAACTTTTAATTTAATATTAATACTTTGTTCAAAAATACCTTTCGACTTAAATCATTATTAATACTCTTACATTTTTTTAAAAGCTTAAAAAAATATTTTAAAACTTTTTAAAAACACGTTTAATAGTTTTTTTTTTTTTTTTGTCCCTAATACCACACTTAAAAAAATATTAATAAAATTTTAAAAATAACATAAAATATTGGAAGATAATTTATAATTGGTAGAAAAATATTTAAACATTTTTTTAATAAAGATAAAAGGTAATACTCCATAAAAATTATTCAACAAGCTTTGGAAGGAATTCCAGGGGGACCTTATGAAAATTTAGAAATACNAAGAAAAGACCTCATGATAGTCAATATGGGACCTCACCACCCATCAATGCACGGTGTTCTTCGACTCATCCTTACTTTGGATGGTGAAGATGTTATTGACTGTGAACCAATATTGGGTTATTTACACAGAGGGATGGAAAAAATTGCAGAAAACCGAACAATTATACAATATCTACCTTATGTAACACGTTGGGATTATTTAGCTACTATGTTTACAGAAGCAATAACTGTAAATGGTCCAGAACTGTTGGGAAATATTCAAGTACCTAAAAGAGCCAGCTATATCAGAGTAATTATGTTGGAATTGAGTCGTATAGCTTCTCATCTGTTATGGCTTGGCCCTTTTATGGCGGATATTGGCGCACAGACTCCCTTCTTCTATATTTTCAGAGAAAGAGAATTAGTATATGATCTATTCGAAGCAGCCACCGGTATGAGAATGATGCATAATTATTTTCGTATCGGGGGAGTCGCGGCTGATCTACCTCATGGATGGATAGATAAATGTTTGGATTTCTGCGATTATTTTTTGACAGCGGTTGCTGAATATCAAAAACTTATTACACAAAATCCTATTTTTTTAGAACGAGTTGAGGGAGTAGGCATTATTTCTGGAGAAGAGGTAATAAATTGGGGGTTATCAGGACCAATGCTGCGAGCTTCCGGAATACCATGGGATCTTCGTAAAGTTGATCATTATGAGTGTTATGACGAATTTGATTGGGAAGTTCAGTGGCAAAAAGAAGGAGATTCATTAGCTCGTTATTTAGTCAGACTTGGTGAGATGACGGAATCCATAAAAATTATTCAACAAGCTTTGGAAGGAATTCCAGGGGGACCTTATGAAAATTTAGAAATACGATCTTTTGATCGAGGACAGTCTCCGGAATGGAATGACTTTGACTATCGATTCATTAGTAAAAAACCTTCGCCAACTTTTGAATTGGCGAAACAAGAACTTTATGTGAGAGTCGAAGCCCCAAAAGGGGAATTGGGCATTTTTTTGATAGGGGATCAGGGTGGTTTTCCTTGGAGATGGAAAATTCGCCCGCCGGGTTTTATCAATTTGCAAATTCTTCCTCAGTTAGTTAAAAGAATGAAATTGGCTGATATTATGACAATACTAGGTAGCATAGATATCATTATGGGAGAAGTTGATCGTTAAAATGATAATTGATACATCACAAGTCCAAGATATCAATTCTTTTTCGAGATTGGAATTCTTAAAAGAAGTCTATGGAATTCTATGGGTGCTTGTCCCTATTTTGACTACTGTATTGGGAATCACAATCGGCGTACTAGTAATTGTATGGTTAGAAAGAGAAATATCCGTTGTTAAAATTTCATAAATAAGTTTTAAAATTTTTTAAAAATATAATACTAATGATAATAATATATATATATATGTGTGTGGATATTATGGAAAATTATTTTTATTTTAAAAATAAAGTACCGTAAAAATATTTTTTACGATTTTTTTTAAAAAAATGGAAAAATATTATTAAAATTTATCAAAATTTTTAATAAAGTATGAAGTTTTAAGAGTTTTTTTTTATTAATAAGTGAACTTAAAATTTTATTTTGCAATTTATTGATAGTTTAGTTAAAAAAAAATTATAAATATAAATTCCGATTTTACATATAAAATTGAAATTAAAAAAAAAAAAAAAATGTAATCTTAGAACGGAACAGACAACGAAACGGCGAGGGAGAGAGAGAGACCGCACATCGGCGGTCTTCTCCTTTTCTCTGATACGTAACGTTCAAACTTGGGAATATATTTCTGTTCATTTTCTTCTCCCCAAAACCCATTTCCCTTTTTCCCTCTCTCTAACTGCCTCCTATCTTCTCTCTCTCTCTGCAACTCTCTCCGCCCAGATGCTTCCCAAATCCACCGGAATCCTCTGGCTCGACGGCGACCATGACGACGCCGCTTCCTGGACCAGAGCCACTGACGACCACTACGACGATATCGCCATTGCCGGCTCCATTTCTTCCTTCAAATCCATGCTCGAACCTGACTGTTTCATTAACTCTTCTTCTGCTCCTCTCAACTCCTCTCTCCATCGTTTCAATCCCACAGATAACTTCCTCTCTTCCTGCTCTCCCTCCCAACCTTTTGCTCTCGATCCTTCCCAGTCTATGTTGCCTTCTCACAAATCCTGTTTCTCTTCTCTTCTTAATGTTGTTTGCGGCAGTAATTTCGATAATGCCTATGATTTTGGAGCCGATACTGCTCTGTTTGGATCTTACCAGGGTAATCAAGCTTCCAATTCCTCCGTTTTCATGGGATTCACTGGCATTTCTCCTCTTCCTCAAATCGGTAACCAGGCGCTTAGCTTAAATCATTCCGAGTTTCCGGTTGCTGATAACCCTCCCGCTTTCGGCGATGGATTTAATCCGGCGGCTGCGTTTGAGAGCTTCGATGGCTGCGGGAATGCTCTGTTTCAGAATAGGCCTAAGGTTTTGAGACCTCTTGAAGTGCTACCGCAAGTCGGTGCTCAGCCGACGCTGTTTCAGAAGCGAGCGGCGCACCGAGTTGTCTCTCCCGGAGCTGATAAACTTGAGAATCTGGAGGTTTCGGGTTTGAAATTTGGAGAAGGCTCAACGTGGACGGCGGATTTGGAGAATCTGAGTAAGAACAACGGCGATGAGGACGGTGAGGATGGTAGCGTGGATGTTTCTCGGTTTAATTACGACTCCGATGAAGGCAATGAGTATAACAAGCAAGAGGACAATGTTAATGCTAAAAACTGCGGAAGCAATTCCAATGCCAACAGCACTGTAACCGGCGGTGACCAGAAAGGGAAGAAGAAGGGGATGCCGGCGAAGAATCTCATGGCGGAGCGGCGGCGGAGAAAGAAGCTGAATGATAGACTTTACATGCTTAGGTCCGTCGTACCCAAAATAAGCAAGGTACGAATTCAAGCTTTTCCTCTCGATTCCATGGCGGAGAGATCTTGAACCACTGGTCTTTCTTGATGAATTGGGCAATAAATCTAAATTTTCCTTTTCTTGTGTTCACAGATGGATAGAGCTTCAATCCTTGGAGACGCCATAGACTACTTGAAGGAGCTTCTTCAAAGGATAAATGATCTCCATAATGAACTTGAATCGACTCCTTCTGGTTCTTTGCTGCAACCTTCTGCAAGCTTTCACCCTTTGACGCCAACGCTGCCAACTCTTCCCTGTCGTGTCAAGGAAGAGCTGTGTCCGAGCTCCTTGTGCAGCCCCAAAAATCAGCCTGCCAGGGTAACTTTTCAACCAACTTTATCCTTTTCCGCGTTCCATCTTGTTTCTTTTTGTATTTGGTTGTACTTTTGTGCTTTTTATTCACGCAGCTAGAATTCTTTTTCATTTTGTTTGCTCTTATACTTCCTCCACAAGTGTCTAGCATGAACTCTGAGATTTTTGGTTCTCAAGAGCCAAGTGCTTACAGTGTTCCTCCTTACTTTAGTAATGATAATGAGTGGATTTGCGAATTTCTGGTTGTTTCAGTTGAACCATTCATCACATAATGAGTCCCAATGATCTGTTTGTTACTTGTATTGGACGTGCTCATGGATGAAGTAACATGGTAATGATACTGTAACAGCCCAAACCCACCGCTAACATATATTGTCTGCTTCGGCCTGCTATGTATTGCCGTCGGCCTCACGGTTTTAAAACGCGTCTGCTAGGAAGAGGTTTTCACATCCTTATAAGGAATTTTTTGTTATTCTCTCCAACCGATGTGGGATATCACAATCCACCTCACTTGGGGGGCTAGCGTTCTCGTTGGCACACTGTCCGAATGTTTCGTTCCCCTCTCCAACTTTTGTGGGATCTCACAATCCACCCCCTTATAATATTCATTGAGGATGAGTGTCATTGAGGAACGAGTGCCATCGAGAACGCTGGACCTCGAAGGGGGCGGATTGTGAAATCCCACATCGGTTGTAGAGGGGTCGAAACATTCTTTATTAAGGTGTGGAAACCATTCTCTAGCATATGTTTTTTAAAAACCTTGAGGGTAAGCCCGAAAGGGAAAACCCAAAGAAGACAATATCTGCTAGCGGTGGGCGCTATTACAGCTACTCTAAAGAGTCATATGAAACATGTGCATGATCTGTAGTTTTTAAACTAGCAATATCATGTGAGTGACAGTCAGCTTCATCTTATTGTTGTAGGCTGCCAAAAATATGATAAAACTAAGTAGATTTGTTGGACAGACCTTATAATTGTTGTTGGTTCTAATGATATTGATGGCGTTCATACGTTCTTTTTATCATCTTACTTCTGTTGATAGAAGTCGGTTCGACGAGGTACCGATCATCAGACATGAAAACTCAAGCACAGTTTCTGTGAATTTTTGGTTTCATTCTCGAACATTTATGGGATTTCGTTGCATTTTCTTGTGTGTGTTGAATGTGAAAGTCCCACATCGGCTAATTTAGGGAATGTTCATGGGTTTATAATCAAAGAATACTCTCTCCATTGAGATGAGGCCTTTGGGGAAGCTCAAAGCAAAGCCATGAGAGCTTATGCTCAAAGTGGACAATATCATACCATTGTGGAGAGTCGTGTTTGTTTAAGAGTGTGCTTATGTGCATATTTGAGGAAGATGTCCTTCAAATCCTGATTGGTAACGTGCTTAAACAGGTCGAAGTCCGGGTCAGAGAAGGCAGAGCTGTCAATATTCACATGTTTTGTTCTTGCAAGCCGGGTCTCTTGCTATCCACCATGAGGGCTCTGGATAGCCTCGGCTTGGATATCCAACAAGCTGTAATCAGCTGTTTCAATGGATTTGCTTTGGACGTGTTTCGAGCTGAGGTTCGCACTCGTTTCCTTTTCGTTTTCCCGAATCGACGTTTACGATCTAATATCGTTCAACAAGTTTTGGCACTAACCATTTTGCTGTCTTTTTGGCTGTTTGATTTCTTCCAGCAATCCAAGGAAGGTCAGGAGATCTTACCTGAGCAAATAAAAGCAGTGCTGTTGGAATCAGCTGGCTTACATGGTGTTATTTAAGTGAAGCTGTTATCAAATGCAGCCCTTCATTGATGGATGGAACAATTCATCGACAAACTCTGTAAATCCGACGACATTCAGCTTCGTCTTATTCTCGAAGGCGTGCTCGTGAACATCATCGACAAGTAGGTGGCCTAATATCTCTTGTGGTTTTAGTTCTTTTTCTTACCAATCTAGCTTTCAGAACATACTGCAAGATCAACCTCAAGTGTTTGGTTTCACTTCATTTGGTTGAGTTCTTTTTGCAATAAGATTTTCTTCTGAAATGTAGTTTCCTTCTGTTAATGTCTGACTGAGTTGGTTCAAAATTCAAAATGCCTTCTTCATTCTCACTTAACTTGCTTTAACATCTATCCACTGAGAATAGTTTATTAGAAATGATCGACCTTCACAGTGGTATGATATTGTTCACTTTGAGCATAAGTTCTCATGACTCTGTTTTTAGTTTTCTCAAAGGGTCTCATACCAATGGAGATTATTCCTTACTTATAAACCTATGATCAACCTCTTAATTAGCCGACGTGTAACTCATCTCCCAACAATCCTCAACATAGTTGATAAAAAAGAAAAGGGTAAATATATAAACATTGAGAATTCTGAAAAGTGGAATATAGAACGTGTGGTGTATCCTAACTAGATGTAGTCTATCAAACCGTTGTCCCATGAGAATAGTTGAATATAGAAAACAAAAGGGATAAATATTTAATGCTTGAGAATTCTAAAAAGTGGGCTACTGAACAAGCGATATGACCCAACCAAATGTAATAGAATGAAACCGTTGTCTTGTTGGAATAGTTGAATATAAAAACCAATAGAGATAATTATGCAAAGGCCAAAAGTTATAAAAAGTGGGTTAGAGAACGAGTAATATAACCCAACTAGCTGGAGTAGAATCAACCTGTTGTCAAACAGTTATCGTGTGAGGCATTGAGAGTTCTGAAAAGTGGGTTGGAGAACATCTGATATGACTTAACCCAATATAGTAGGATCACACCGTCGTCCCATGAAAATATTAGAACATAGAGAATAAAAAGATTAGAGCAAATATTTAAGCGTCGGGAATTTTGAAACATGGGTTATACAATTTGTGACATGGCCTAGCTAAAAGCCTTGTATATATGTGAATAAAACTATACACAATACACTAAATACTAAATAAAAGAGCATAGCGGGGGGATTTAGAAAACGCCATTTAGAAACTCAGCTCCACAAAATTCTCCGCCAAGATCATCGCAAGCCTCCCCTGGAAAAACTCTGCACATAATAATAATAATCATATTAATATAATATTTAATATGAATAATAATAAATATTTTTAAATTTTCATTAATATTTTAAAATATTCTTATTATTAAATAAAATTTTAAGTTTATTAATACTTTTGAAATTTAATAATAATCTTAAAAATATTTTTAACATTTATAAAAAAAAAAAAAAAATTAAAAATTTTAAGGGTATTAGATTTTTTTTTTTTTTTTTTTTTTTTTTTTTTTTT